CTCGACGCCCAAATCACGTGGGCTCAAAAACACACGCGCAAAGATGCGGCTCTCCAAGTACGATGCATTCTTCTTCTTTGGCGTCGCACGGAAGACGTGAACATCCTTGAATGGTGTCGGGTACATGGCAACGTCATAGTTCACTAGGCGATGTAATTCAAGGCGTCGCGCAGAGAGGGGTGCAATGTTGCGAATCAACTTGTCCTCGCGCCATTCGTGGCATCGGCGATGGGTAAAGGTGTGTGGCCCACCGGAAATGCCATGCACAATAAATGTAAAGCGTTGTAACTCCCTGTGTTGCATCAACGCCAATGTGTGTTCTTCAAGCAGTTGTTGGCATTGACGCGCCACCTCCTCAACGCCCGACTGGACGCTGACGGCAAAAAAGACGGTGCAAACAGAGGGCTCAGATGGGACGTTGCATATAAAATTGTTGAGCGCCGTCGCCCATTTCACCCGTAGCACCTGATCATCAGGGAACATCATGCAGAGACCAGCACCTTTGTACTCTGAGACAACATCGATTATGTTTTCCTCGGAAGAAAAACTCTCTGCCAGCAGCGGGTCGTGATCCTCCAAGGGCTCGTATTCGTAGAAAGCGTACCAGCAACCGTCCCGTACAAAGATGTCAAGATTCTTCACATGACTTTCCCCAAAATACTCGCGGCGGATGTACAGCTCAAGACACAGCTGCGCCAGGTGCGGTGTTCGGCGGTCGAACATAACAGCGCACATGAGATCGTCGCCGTGGCTGCCCTGAATAAGGTCGGCGATACGCCCCTCTTCCAACACCTTCGCGAAGGTCGTTTTGCGCTCCTCAAAGGATGGAAGACTGCACTGCCGCATAAGGTATCTTACCTGCAATGCAAGGGAGCCATACGTGCTGGAATCCAGTTCTAAAAGGAAGGGAAGCGTGCTTTGCAGAGACCTGAGAAGTAACATGTTGCTCTCTAACATATTCAGCAGTTCCTTGATGACGCTGTGATGGCAAGGTTGCTGGTGGGCAAAATCCAGCGCGTACACCTCCATTGGATCATCATTCACCTCACGCAGGTGCTGGATCGCCTCTTGTCGGCTGCAGTGAGCAAATGGTTTCTCGACACTAATGTAGTCTGCCACAAGGGCGTGGAGAACAATCCGAAGCTTCTCGTTGGGTGTATCCCTCTTCGTGTCATCCCACACCGCGGTTGATACCTTCGTTGAGAGGAGTGGAAAGTTTACCGCATCAAGGACGACAGAAGAAAGGCAAAGGGAGGAAAGATTATCAAACGCCTCCTGCAGTCGGTTCTTCAATGAGATGCCGGAGAAGTGGTACCCACGCAGCATGTATTGCAGTGACTCCACACCGAGCTGGGCCCGAGTGAGGCCGTTGGGCCGCTCCATCTTCTTTTCCCGCTCAATGAGAAGACCAGAGGGCCACTGCTCCCACACCTCCTGTGGGCGGGCGACTGTGCTCGGGTCATCGAGTGTGATGCCGCCAATGAGGGTGCCGACGGCGATGGTGCTGCCGGGCGCAACGCGATGGTGCAGCACGCCCGCCGCGGTCGCACGCAGCGGAAGGATCATCTTCATCACCTCCACCTCCGCGATGGTGCTCCCCTCCGCCACGTGTCCGCCGTCGTTGACGACGTAGCGCACAAAGCGGCCCGGGACAGAAGAAAAGATCTTCGTTGGGTCCGTGTCACCGGTAAAGGTGGTGTCCTTTCCGTTGATGGAGATGCGGAGACTCGCCGGCTCCTTCTCCGCGTAGGCAATGAAGCTTTTCCCCCCAATTCTTAGCTGCAACGCCCCTGACTTCAGTTTACGGAAGGGCACCGTCAGAACGCTGCCGTTCAGTGAGATGGCAACTTCTGCAGGGCTCGTAAAGCCCATGGTGACAGTAAATTTTTTAAATCTATTCACATACGATTCGGTGAGTTGATTGGTTAAATAATCCGACGAAGGAACGTGCCCTGCGCCAAGAAATGTGACATACTTACCGATGTTCTCCTCGCTCTTCCGCAATATTCGAAAGACACAGGCGGCAATGAGTGCGAGGTGCACATCCTGCTCCTGCGGCCCTTGCATGGCACGCTCTGTGATGAGGCGATCAAGCCACGCCGTGCTGATGTCGCAGTCGATAAACTCCTCCCGCTCTAGCAACTCCAGGACGTAAGAGATGGATGTATGGATCTCCCCACGTATGACCAGGTTGCGCAGCGCCATGACCATCCCGCGACGTGCATCCTCGCGGGTCTCACCGGAGGAAAAGATGTGACCAAATTGCGAATCCGCAAACTGATGGATCTCGCCCCCGGGGTTGGCAGAGAAGTAACCCCAGCACTCCTTGCTGTTCTTGAACGTGATTTCCTCCACGCGACCGGTGGTGGGGCAAAATCCCTCCTCCGTGTTCTCTGCAGTAACACGCACGGCAATGGTATGCCCTTTGGCCGGCAGAGACCTGCGCTGCGAAAAGTTAATGGGAGTCTTCGTGTACGGCCGTTCACCGTAGAAGCTGCGTACCTCCGGCACACGGTGGAGGGGCACGCCCATGCCGACGCAGAGGAGTGCGGCCGGCAGGTTAACACCGGAAATAAGCTCCGACACGGGGTGTTCCACCTGAATGCGGGGGTTAAGCTCGAGGAAAAAGAAGTTGTCTGTCGCCTTATCGTACATGTACTCCACGGTGCCGAGCCCGCGGTATCCCACTGCCTTAGCGAGGCGTATGGCCGCCGCCTCCATCGAGGCGATGATCGATGGATCCACGCCAAAAACAGGGCCCTCCTCAATAAGTTTTTGGTGGCGCCTCTGAACCGAGCAGTCGCGTGTGTGTACCGCGATGCAGTCGCCGTATTCGTCCGCAAGCAGCTGCACCTCAAGGTGCCGCACGTTTTCTAGCATTCGCATAACAAAGATGTGACATCCCTTCACTTCCTCCGACACCGCCACAAACATGTCAGAAACATCCTCCATGCGCAAACAACGACGGATGCCTTTGCCACCACCACCTTCTGAGGCCTTTATCATTACAGGAAAACCAATGCGGGCGCACACCTCTTCACATTCTTCTACAGATGTGATGTACGCCATCTCGTACACCAACGGATCCACCTCAAACACACCCGGTGGTAGACGGATCTCATCACCACTCCATGGCACTGTTGGCACGCCATTTGATTGCGCCACAATGGTGGAGGCAATCTTGTCGCCAAGCGCAAACATGGCCTCCTCAGTAGGGCCTAGAAACACAACCTTACCCTTTAACTTGGTGCACTCACGCGATAATATCGGATTCTCCGACGCGTGGCCCCACCCGGGGTAGATGGCATCGCAGGAATTCTGCAGCGCAGTACGCATTATAAGATCCACATTGGCGTAATTGTTGGAATTCGGCCCACCGGGAACGGCGACATGAAAGTCTGCGAGGGAAATAAATTCGGCGTTTGCGTTCAAATCCTCCGGTGTTGCCATCACAACAAACTCAATGGCTTCGGAATCGCCAATGTGTTCGTACAGCCACGAGCGGATAGAGTCAATGCCTTTAACTGCGGCAAGACCATTGTTTGCGATAAGAAGCCGCTCGATTTTCTTGGTACGCCAAGGAACGTGCAAAACTCGGGCAGGTTGTGGAAGGGAAGCTGCTGTGTCGACGATCTTCGATCCATAGAGGTCGTTTCCCCTACTCTTACTTGTTTTTCTTTTTTTCCTTTTCTCTATTGTGCGTGTGTTTATTTGTTTACGTCCCTCGTTTCGTTGGCGTTTTCCAGTTATTCGCCCCTCCGTGTGTGTTACTGTAACTTTTTTCCTTTTTTTTTTTTTCCGTTTACTTTTATTTATATGTGTGGCAATTTTTGTGGGGAAATTTGTGAGAGAGGTGCCGTGGAGTAAATAACGACGAATTTTAACTGCAGAAAAGAAAAAGAAAACAGAAAAAAAAAACAAAAAAAAAAACAAGAAGAGAAAAAAAAAAAAAATGCCACGCTGCCATCTGCACAAAGTGGGAAGAGACAAAACACAGTGAGGAATTTCTGGGCAACTCTCACAAACACACACGTTTGTTTCTGTGCCTGTGTGTGTGGGAGCTGGTCTCAAAGTCGAATTACGCACACACACACACACACAAACAGGCATTTTGCCGCATGTGGTTGACGTCCATCCACACCGCCACTCGCTCCGCTACGGTCCAATTGTAGGCGACGACAGCAGGGACTCCGATCGACTGCGCTTCAGTACTGGCTCATTTATTTCCTCCTCCTCCTCCACTTCCTCCTTCTTCTCATTCTCAGTGCTCCTGCTCTTCTTATCTGCTGGGGCCGCTGCTGCTGCCGCTGTTTGGGCTGCGTTGCCGTGGGCCAGTGGGAGGTGTGACCGCGGGGGCGTTAACTCGACGCCAAATTCCAGCATCATCGCGTCAAACTCCATGTCTGCTGTGCCCTTCACGCTTCGCTCCAGTGTACTCGCCACACTTGACGTCTCGGCATCTAAAGACCGTGCCTCCTCCGGTGTTTCGTGTAGCGCGTGCTCAAACTTGAGGGCAAGCACGGGACAACGGGCCCTCAACCCCTCCCCGTGCACGGACCACAGACGGGCCCCAAGTGACTGACAAACTCCGCCGCTCTTGCTGACGCCATCTTGCTGCTCCTGCTGCTGTTGCTCACATTCTTCCGCCGTTCCTCTGCTGCAGTTGTCTCGAATTTCGTCATCATCGTTCTCTTCGTCGTCGTTTTTCAGCAGGTGCACAAATGGACTGCTGGTTGGGCCCACAATGCGCCGTGCCCCAGCGCTCTTCTCAGAATGAACCGCACGGCAGAGAGAGTCCAAAAGGTGCGCCAGCGACGCACTGAGGATGTTGCTCCGCCGGGCACATGCCATGTAGCGGCAGAGCGCTGTGTCGAGTATTGTGCCATCACCAAGCAGCTTCATCACAATACGCCGTTTTCCACTGTCGAGCACGGCGGAAACAAAAGCCACGACGGAGGACTGGACATTGGCATTACACCGAGCCGTTGTGCGCAGCGCCGCGTCTATCCCGAGTGGTAAATCCGCTTGAACCAATACGCTTGCAAAGCTGAGACTGAGCGCCTCGTCTATTTCCCCCGTGATGGCGATAAGAACTTTCAGTGCATGCAGCACCCTCGCTTCCTCATGTGAACCACGTGAAATTGTTTCCTCACCAGCAAGCGCCTTGGTAATGTAGGAAGCGAGCGGCAACAGAGGTGGCCGCCGCCCCACTGCACCTTCCACCCAGAACCGTATCACGTCGCGCTTTGCCGCGCTGCCTATTTCTATGGAGTCCGGTATGTACTGAATAATGCCAATGCCGCAACTAACAACGGCATCCACAGCCGCCTGCAGCTCTGTACCGCACTGGCTTTTCACAATGCACTGCAGCAGCAAATCCAAGATGCAGCCGTTCGGACTACAAGTTGCCTCCGCAAGAAGGCTGCCACGTCCTGGCGGATACAACATGATGCAACTGCAGACAATGTCACACGCCATCTGCATCGCCATCCCAGGCATTATAAGAGGCACCTGCAGTGGTGCGGACGACGATGATTGCGGTAGCGGCGTGGCCTCGTAATCACAAATTGCGTTTTCCAGAACAAAGCGAAGAAATGGCAGCAGCCCAGCTTCTACAAGCGCCTCAAACATTGATGTTTTGCATTCCATTCCCACCATCGAATTCTTAATTGTCTTTCCCATGTCGTGAATAAATGCCATAACATCAAAGGCGTTCTTAACAACTTCAGATGCACGCTTAAAGGCTCTTGGAAGAAATACGGGCGATCTACAAATTTCTTCCACCAGACGGAATTTGGTAGACATGAGATATGTGCTGAGCAAGGACGATGACACGGCGTCAGCCTCGTCAAGGCTGAGTGGCAACAGATCCTTGAGGTAGCCACAGGAATACAGCACATGAATACGGGCCACAATACTCTCCGGGAGCTGCAGAGGGTTGCGGAACGTTGCGCGACGCTCTTCGAAGCTGACAAATCCAGTTCTCTGATCCCGCCGGCCAATGGCGTACTGTACAATGTCAACACACATGTCCACAAGCGAGTTCTCCACAAATTGCGCAATAATTTTTCCATCGGTGTTAAATGGAGAGCGCAACAGGGCCAATGTAATATGGCCCGTCAACTCCATGCCGCGTACGTCCTCGTCACGCTGACACGCCTGAAATAGCTCCGCAAGCTCCTTAAAGTAGGTGTCGCGGCCACGCACATACACGCCAAAACGCTGGGCATTGGTCGTGGCGGCAGAAAGAATAGCTGGTAGGTTTTCGCGGCACACTGTCCAGTGGCTGCAGAGAGACGATGCACTGGCCACCTCAACGCCATTTATTTCTTGTGAAATGACGCTCCTCCTAGATCGCTGATACGCCACAATTTCCTTATGGATCTTCTCGCACCCTTCCCTCGTATTGAAGCTACAGGCCATGAGGCGACCCAGCTGTGGGTCAGACCACCAAAGAATGGTTTCATGCTGGACAACATAGGCATCCGAGAGGGTGATGGGTGTACTCATCAGCAACTCCTCCGGATTATCGATGTCAATCATCTCAAGATGGCCAACTGCCCGCTCCGTACCATTACCATCGCTATCTTCGCAGTCCAGAGCTGCAGAGGAGCGTAAGACGACAGACACGACACCGACACCCATCTCTGTCCACGAGTCGTCGTCAGACATGGTCGCGTAGAGCTTCGCCTTGGTGAGACTCTCATCCCCGTCGTCCACCTCCATCACGTCCCCCTCTGTGTCTCTGTTAGTCCGTATGTACGGTGTTGATTTCCTTCGGGCCCCTGCTCTCTGCAGCACCTTCGCAGCTTCTACAATCAGTGAATTTCTGCAAGGGTAAGAAAAAGAAAAAGAAAAAAAAATAAGTTTTCTGTGCAGGAATAAATCCAAAAAAAGACTACAGGAGGACGGGAACGTGCCGCACATGAGAAAGGCAGAAGGTCACATAATTGCGAACACTCCTTCCCCTAACCCCTCTGAGATAAATACACTTGTTTATGCGATTGCAATGGCACCACCTCTGCTTCACTGTTCGTACAATAATAACTGCAGGCACACGCTCTTCCTGTGCCCAAATCAACCCACAACTAATCACAATGGCAATGATAAACCGCAGCGTGTGGTGTTATCTACCACGCGACATGGAGAGCTCCAGACAGTCCCTGGGGCTCATCTCCAGCTGCGACACGGCACGACCGCGCTCAATTAGGTCATCAAATTGCGTTACGAGCACTTCAATTTGAGAAAGTCGTGTGTCATTTTTGCGGCGCTGTTCGTTAAGCATTTTTGAATACCGCACCATTGACCGCGTCACGTCTTCTGTGGAAACTGAGCGGCGCAACGGAGCCACTACGGCGGGCGAGGCACCAGAAAAACGGTGGTGCGACCTCCCCCGCAGTGCATGCAATGACGCCCAGTCTGTCACGCCAGGCCGCTCTCGTCTAGGGAATTCGACGCTGCACCTGAGAAACAGACGACTCTTCTCGTCGAGGAGGCAAAAGACAGCAGCAGTCACCGTCTCTGCAAACTGCGAGAGACCGCCCACGACCCATTGGCAGAAGTCGCTGGCGTTAAACTCCTTCCTTGACATCGCCGCCAGCTTCCAGTGAGTGATACGACATACTTCCCGCATTTCCTGAAGCTCCTCCCACAACAGCGTGTATCGGCCCTCTGCTTCCTGCAGACAACAATTGTAGCACTTTCCCTCCAACTGAAGCGCATTTCTCTGCTGCTGCTGCTGCTGCTGCTTCTCATGATATGACGGCACCCCCTGCTCTGCGTCACGCCGCTCCACGGACATCTTTCGGAGGTTATCCATCTCTGCCCGCAGCTCCGTCATCTCGTGCTTATGTTTGGAACGCATCCGTGCGGTGGCCTGCTGGGCCGCTTCCTCCTGCTCGCGCAGTCGGGAACGCAGCACGCACATCTCCTCCTCGTGGCTGCGCCTTTCCTCTCCCCGACGGACATTGCTCTCCCTCAGCTCAGCACGCAGAGACTCAACACGTCCCGTCATATCCGCCATCTCTCGTCTTATACGTGTCTCGTACGCCTCGCGCTCCTCACGCAGCTGGCGACATGCTTTCTCCGATTGCTCCTGTGTATTCCGCAATGCTCCCATGAGTGCCGCCTTCTCGCTCTCGTGCACTTTTTGCAGCTCGTTCAGCTCCTCAGCCATCAATGTTCCTCCACGCAGCCGCACGTCCACGTGCTGCCGCGTTTCGAGGAGTTGCCGCAGGTTCACTTCCGACCGATGCAGGAGCTCCTCCGAAAAGCGCTCCACATCCCTCAGCATTTCAGCAGCGGTAAGAAAAGCAGAACGACGGCCCACCAATTCCTCCTGAAAAGAGAGTAAAACACGCTCGTATTGCCTCACGATGCCATCGAGTGCGTCACGCCGCTCCACGGACATCTTTCGGAGGTTATCCATCTCTGCCCGCAGCTCCGTCATCTCGTGCTTATGTTTGGAACGCATCCGTGCGGTGGCCTGCTGGGCCGCTTCCTCCTGCTCGCGCAGTCGGGAACGCAGCACGCACATCTCCTCCTCGTGGCTGCGCCTTTCCTCTCCCCGACGGACATTGCTCTCCCTCAGCTCAGCGCGCAGAGACTCAACACGTCCCGTCATATCCGCCATCTCTCGTCTTATACGTGTCTCGTACGCCTCGCGCTCCTCACGCACGTTTTTTTGCTCTACAACGTCTTCTACAACACCCGCGGTGGCAATTCTACTCTCAAGAAAAGTTTGGTATTGCAATAACTCCTCAAGCAATGTCTCATGCCGTTCTTTCTGCGCCTCAAGCGCATCTGTGGTGATGGAGTGCATGTTGTCAACAACGACTCGTACGTGTTCGGCCATCAGTGACCTTTCTGTGGAAAGAAGCCGCTTTGCCTGCTTAATCGGTACGGCCGCAGCTCTGCAAACCTCCTGGCAGAATTCTAACCAGAGGCACTCGCGTCCCGCACACCAGTTCGCAGTATTCTCAGTAATTGCGGCACACAGTGTGCCATAACGTTTCATTTCCTTAAAGAACTGTTTGTTGCGCTGAGCGCGTATGTTTTCCATCTCGCTTCTAGTAGCTGCCGCTTCGGCTGCAGATAATTCTGCCGTCATCACAAACCAAGCCGTCCTCTGGTGCATATGGAAAAGTAGCATATGAAGTTTGGTGTCTTGCACCCTCGTTATCAATCCCGTTGAGGAGTCGAGCCAAGACGCGGCGACTCCAGCAATGGCTGCCATCCGCTTTCGAGTTCGCCGTTCCTTGTTCCTGTGGGCAAACAGCAGCCACCGGCCAAACGCATTTCGTGCGCAATACTCAACGAGGAGACAGCCAATATCCTGCAGCTGCCCAGTGGCACTTTCAAGCTCCACAAGCATCGCCTGCTTCTCCTCATGAAATGTTGCAGCAATGCGCACGGCATGAAAGCCTTGCTGTAATTCTTGCTGCTCGCAGAGCTCCTCGTACTGCAGAGAAATACGTTTCGCGTCTTCCATGGCGACAAGCCGTTCAAGGTGAGCTGTGTGCTCACTCAGCAGTTGTGTGAGATGAATGTCTTTTGCCGCCTGCTTCCACCGTTCAACGTGGGCCGTTAGCCTGGCAACATCCTCCCGCAGCCACGCACACTGCCGCTCCCCTGCCAGGAGCTCTGCGCGCATGCGTGACTCCGTCATCTTACGCTCCGTCTTGTACCGCAACGACTGCCGCGCTGCACCTTCCAGTTCAGTGACACAACGTCGAACGAAGAACTCGTCTTGCAGCAGCTGCGTCAGTGCGGTGCAGTAACGCCGTTCCCGCCACTCAGCCGCAGTGCGCCACACTTCTTTCTTGACTTCCTTCAACGCCACGTGTGACGCCTGCTCCACTAGTGCAAGCCTTCGGTTAACTACATGCAGTTGCCATGACTTCCAAATGCGCCGCGTTTGCCCCGCAACGTGGGCGCGGTGTAACAGCGTCGCCGCTGTCGCCGCTCTGCACCGCAGACTTGCCTCTTGGCTTGTGAGTGCCGCACGGGTCGCTTCAAGGTGCCGCTCAGCATCCTCGCAACGTCGCTGCAAAACCACCACCTGCTGGCTCAGCGGGGCAAAGAGATCCACCTGTCTCGTTAGCCCTTTCAACTGCTCTGTCAGCTCTGCGTTGCACTTCACTGCATCGCAAAACAAAGCAAGAGACGCACGGTGGAGCAAATGGATCTTCGCCAATGCGCAAATATCCACTGCACTCCACGCCACGTGCATCATTGAATCAAACGATGCCTGCTGCGCTCTCAGTACAGTTGCGAGCTCCGCGGCTCGCTGCTCCTCCTTGTGACTCGTCTCCTCTGCGGTCATTACATATTGTGTGAGCCGCCTCTCTCGCTCCGCATAGTACCGTGCCAACTCCTCCTGCTGCCGCAGATAATTGCTCGTACGCTCGCTAAACTCACGGGACATCTCACCCATAGACGTCTTGAGACGCGTCACCACCTCCTCTCGCTCTTCTTCCACGCGGGAGATTGCGTTGTGCACACGCCGTTCATGCGCTCTATTAAGTGACACGTGCTGCTGAAAGTCCAACTCGGCACGTTGCAACTCGTGCTGGGCACACTGAAGTTCCGCCTCAAGCTCCAGTTGTCGACTCCGCTGCACTTTTAACGCGGCTTCAAGCCGCCTCGCCCTCCAGCGGTAAAAGCACCGCGCCTGCAGTTCCCTGCCTGACCTAATCATTGCATACCGGCACGCTATTGCGCCACAGCTCCTCCTGAACCGGCGTCCGCTCTCTGCGCGCTGGCGATCCGCGCGGGCACAAAGGGCTCGGCGTATCCATTGGTTCAGTGCCCGCATCCGCAGCCGCCGCGCCACAGCCTTCTGAAAAACCGTCACAGCAGCATCCTGCGCAGCGGCAATTTGGATGTCCTTCACCGTCAGCTGCTGCTGAAACTTTTCCTCCCGTCGCTGCTGCACGTCGAGTTGGCCCTCAAAGTACCGCCGCATCGCCTGCCTCGCTGCGCCCACGCCACTCTCCTTAAGAAGGCCGCAGAGGAGGTGTGTGCCCCGCTCGAGGTGCCGCAGCGCCTCCTCCTGCTTCGCCTGCGATGATAACTGCAGGCCCAAATGTCCGTCCGTCCCGTCGTCCACCTGCGGCGCATCCCGCATCCGACGGAGGGCAATCAGATCTTCTTGTGCCTGGAGCACAGCGCACTGCGCTTGCCGAAGAGTGCCCTGAAGCTCCTCCATCGACCACACTACAAAGGGAAAAAGAAAAAAGATAAAGAGGACGCCATAGAAATAATAATAATAATAAAAATAAAAAGAACTCGACAAGCAGCGAGGTCCACCCACAAAGACACAAAAACAACAAAAACAACAGGACGGTTCTTCTTTTGCACACCAAACACTTGAATATACACATATAAAACAAAATATACATGTAAACACGCACCACAGCATGCATATACTTCTAAACACCAAATGAGGCACAACAATATTATGGTAGCCCATTGGAAGTAACAATATGTACACAAAAACAAACACAACCACACACAAAAAAAAAAAAACAGACTTATTTCTGCTAAGTGAAGCACAACCAATAAATAAATAAATAAATAAAAAATATATAACAGAAAATAATAATAATTAATTGACGTAATCAAGAGGCATTGACCTTTCGCTGGATGTCCTAAAACCCCCTCGGGGACGGCGCATCACAATGAGATGCTTCAACTGCCCCGGTTCGGCAAAATGTATGTAAATAATAAACCACACTCCCAGCACCACAATAGCAAAGGAGACAAGCAGTAGTAGAAAGGCAACATACCAATGCGCCTCAAAAAATCCTCGCTCAATTTTATACGACACACGGACGTAAGGCGTTGCGGACACCGTAAAAGAATTCTCCTGCGAGGCGGTTCCAACAGCAAAACAACTGCAAGTAATGAGCAGTACAGCCGCTTGCACGCCAAAAAAACCCGGCCTCTCCATGACACTTCACTTCTAAAACATCCACACATTACAACAACACAACAGTGGAGGGGGAAAGAAGGACATCAACACAAAACAACGCCCAAAAGACGGTGCAAACAGCCATCAGGGACGCTGGGACGCCATCCGAAAGCAAACACACAAACACAAAGAGAGAGAGACGAATAAACATAAAATGACGAATACGACAGGCGGATGCACACAAATCGGAAAAAAAAAAAAAAAAGAGGTTAGATACGTAAGTAAACCGCCTCTCATAAAACAACAGAAACCCCCCAAAAAAAAAAAAAAACAAATACTTAAAATTGCATTCAACTAATCGCCAACAGCCGCCAAGCACACACACAAAAAAAAATTCTACAGCAACGCTGAAGTCTACAACGCATCCATGCAAAATTCAGCCCTCATACGGCACACCCACAACTTCAAGGACTCTAAAAGCAGCTCCAACTTCATTCTAACAAACTGGTCAAACAGATCCGCCACAGCAGACACAACACTCTCATACGACAACGGAAACACATCGTCAGGGGTCATCAAATGATACGAATCAATCATTCCGTGAATCCTCTCCATCGCCGCAGCCTCGCGTGACGCCGCGTCCGCCTCAGAAAGACGCAAAACCTCCTCCGCACGATCCACATGACGCAACATCGTATCCTCTGCGCTCTCGGCACTCACAACAGCACTTTCAAATTCCTGCATCAGAGCCCGCATCATCGACTCAACAATTAACTTCGCCTCGGAAAGATCCTCCACCTCCACCTCGAGCGACTTCACATGCTGCTGAAGCTCTTCCTCACGACTCTTTGCGTCACGCACTCTCCCCTCCAGTTCAACTAGATACCGTTCCCCCGACACAATCTCCGACCGCACAGTATCAGCCTGCGACACCAACTCTGAAACAACCTGCCTCGCCGCCACTTCCCCCTTCACCACCGATGCCACATGATCCTGGAGGTCGTTCGTGCGTTCCTCCAGCTCCGCCTCCAGGCGCTTCGCAGCGTCCGTCTCTGCTGAAGAAGAGCTGGGAAGTTGAGTGGCGCCTACATCACCTACAGTCACGGGAATAGCACTCGTCGACCTGCTGATGCGCCCTCGTTTCTTCTCACAAGACTCAACAAGCCCAGTTCCGGGTAAAATAATAGATTTTACGGGATGGCGGTACCCGGAAGGTTGAAATTGAGGCAAAGATGACCTAAAATTCAATATATTAAAAGATCCCTCACAAACACGAAGACAACCTCCAGAACCGGAACCATTCACCAACGGACAACAACCGTACATGCAGTTGTAATGGTTTTCCTGATAAAAGCGGCGGTCGTCAGTTATGCAGGTGATCATCGCCAGACTGCGTATTTCCTTCGATGGGAAGAGGTGTTGGAGTAACCAGCAGGGTCTGTCGTGTGGCACGGGGTGTCCTGCGATAAGTTCTCTTAATAGTTGCATGCCCCCCTGGAAGAACCGGTTTCCTTGACTGAGCTGCGGCAACAGGGCAATAGTGAGTACGCCGGACACGGACGCATTGGCCGATTTGGCAACAAGACTAAAGATAATGGAAGAATGACCTTCAGGAACCGCACAAGCTCGTCGCAGTAAAGCATCAAGAGCAGCATCCTCGCGACTCTTCACGACATTTTGCTGCAGCTGTGGGCGGCAGCATTCGTCCGTGTCGTGCGTGTAGACGCCAACGTGGCGGTGTGCCACAACCTGCTGGTTCAGGGTGTCCGTGACGCCCCACGAGTACAGACGGAACATGCTGTAGTGCAGCTGCACGTCACCGACACTCGTCTCCGCAAGCACGTCGAGGGCGTGGCCGACTGCCGAGAGCACCAACGCGTGGAACAAATCCACTGAGTGGATGCGGAGCGACCCGTGGATGAATACTCCGTGCGTCGCACACGGAGGGGTGTCGCAGGCGTATGGGCATCCACCGCCAAAGTTCTCCGCCACACGCCGCGCCAGCACGGACTCGTACGCCATGGTGTGGAAGGGGTGGTACGTCACACTGTCAAAGTGAAACCGTGACACACCCGCCAGCCCGTCGCAGAGAACAACGTCTCCTGTCTCCGCATCCACGTCTACACTACTTTTCCCATCGTGCGCAGGGGCGATGTGCGCACCGCAAATAACGTTCTTTACGCTCGACAGCATAGAGCCCCGCCACAACTACCAACAAAAAAAATACGTGAAAAAAGTGGGCAGATTTGAAATTCCACCACCACAGTGATCATAAAAACAACGCAGAGAAGCAACGCCCCAAAAGGTAAAAGAAATACATTCCGCTTAATCAGCTGAACAAACATGGACTTCCAAAAAAAAAAAAAAAAAGCATCCACACAATTACAGACGATGTACAAAAATTAAACTCTAAAAAAAAGACAAAAAACAATGTATCACATGGTCCCACAAAAACAAAAAAAAACAAAGCACCAATACCAGACCGCGAAATACAACCAATACTACCTCAACCACCAGCCACCAAAATGCATGACAACTTCAACGACTCTAAAAGCAGCTCCAACTTCATTCTAACAAACTGGTCAAACAGATCCGCCACAGCAGACACAACACTCTCATACGACAACGGAAACACATCGTCAGGGGTCATCAAATGATACGAATCAATCATTCCGTGAATCCTCTCCAACGCCCCAGCCTCGCGTGACGCCGCGTCCGCCTCAGAAAGACGCAAAACCTCCTCCGCACGATCCACATGACGCAACATCGTATCCTCTGCGCTCTCGGCACTCACAACAGCACTTTCAAATTCCTGCATCAGAGCCCGCATCATCGACTCAACAATTAACTTCGCCTCGGAAAGATCCTCCACCTCCACCTCGAGCGACTTCACATGCTGCTGAAGCTCTTCCTCACGACTCTTTGCGTCACGCACTCTCCCCTCCAGTTCAACTAGATACCGTTCCCCCGACACAATCTCCGACCGCACAGTATCAGCCTGCGACACCAACTCTGAAACAACCTGCCTCGCCGCCACTTCCCCCTTCACCACCGATGCCACATGATCCTGGAGGTCGTTCGTGCGTTCCTCCAGCTCCGCCTCCAGGCGCTTCGCAGCCTCCTCCTTCTCCCTTGCAGCGGCATCATCGACGGCAGCAGCACGCTCTTGGAGGTCGTTTGCACGCTCTTGGAGGTCGTTCGTGCGCACCTCCAGCTCCGCTTCCAGGCGCTTCGCAGCCTCCTCCTTCTCCCTTGCAGCGGCACAGCGACGGCGAGCGGCATCCTCGGCAGCAGCAGCACGCTCTTGGAGGTCGTTCGTGCGTTCCTCCAGCTCCGCCTCCAGGCGCTTCGCAGCCTCCTCCTTCTCCCTTGCAGCGGCACAGCGACGGCGAGCGGCATCCTCGGCAGCAGCAGCACGCTCTTGGAGGTCGTTCGTGCGTTCCTCCAGCTCCGCCTCCAGGCGCTTCGCAACCTCCTCCTTCTCCCTTGCAGCGGCACAGCGACGGCGAGCGGCATCCTCGGCAGCAGCAGCACGCTCTTGGAGGTCGTTCGTGCGTTCCTCCAGCTCCGCCTCCAGGCGCTTCGCAACCTCCTCCTTCTCCCTTGCAGCGGCACAGCGACGGCGAGCGGCATCCTCGGCAGCAGCAGCACGCTCTTGGAGATCGTTCGTGCGCACCTCCAGCTCCGCCTCCAGGCGCTTCGCAGCCTCCTCCTTCTCCCTTGCAGCGGCACAGCGACGGCGAGCGGCATCCTCGGCAGCAGCAGCACGCTCTTGGAGGTCGTTCGTGCGTTCCTCCAGCTCCGCCTCCAGGCGCTTCGCAACCTCCTCCTTCTCCCTTGCAGCGGCACAGCGACGGCGAGCGGCATCCTCGGCAGCAGCAGCACGCTCTTGGAGGTCGTTCGTGCGCACCTCCAGCTCCGCCTCCAGGCGCTTCGCAGCCTCCTCCTTCTCCCTTGCAGCGGCACAGCGACGGCGAGCGGCATCCTCGGCAGCAGCAGCACGCTCTTGGAGGTCGTTCGTGCGCACCTCCAGCTCCGCCTCCAGGCGCTTCGCAGCCTCCTCCTTCTCCCTTGCAGCGGCACAGCGACGGCGAGCGGCATCCTCGGCAGCAGCAGCACGCTCTTGGAGGTCGTTCGTGCGCACCTCCAGCTCCGCCTCCAGGCGCTTCGCAGCCTCCTCCTTCTCCCTTGCAGCGGCACAGCGACGGCGAGCGGCATCCTCGGCAGCAGCAGCACGCTCTTGGAGGTCGTTCGTGCGCACCTCCAGCTCCGCCTCCAGGCGCTTCGCAGCCTCCTCCTTCTCCCTTGCAGCGGCACAGCGACGGCGAGCGGCATCCTCGGCAGCAGCAGCACGCTCTTGGAGGTCGTTCGTGCGCACCTCCAGCTCCGCTTCCAGGCGCTTCGCAGCCTCCTCCTTCTCCCTTGCAGCGGCACAGCGACGGCGAGCGGCATCCTCGGCAGCAGCAGCACGCTCTTGGAGGTCGTTTGCACGCTCTTGGAGGTCGTTCGTGCGCACCTCCAGCTCCGCCTCCAGGCGCTTCGCAGCCTCCTCCTTCTCCCTTGCAGCGGCACAGCGACGGCGAACGGCATCCTCGGCAGCAGCAGCACGCTCTTGGAGGTCGTTTGCACGCTCTTGGAGGTCGTTCGTGCGCACCTCCAGCTCCGCCTCCAGGCGCTTCGCAGCCTCCTCCTTCTCCCTTGCAGCGGCACAGCGACGGCGAGCGGCATCCTCGGCAGCAGCAGCACGCTCTTGGAGGTCGTTTGCACGCTCTTGGAGGTCGTTCGTGCGCACCTCCAGCTCCGCCTCCAGGCGCTTCGCAGCCTCCTCCTTCTCCCTTGCAGCGGCACAGCGACGGCGAGCGGCATCCTCGGCAGCAGCAGCACGCTCTTGGAGGTCGTTCGTGCGTTCCTCCAGCTCCGCCTCCAGGCGCTTCGCAGCCTCCTCCTTCTCCCTTGCAGCGGCACAGCGACGGCGAGCGGCATCCTCGGCAGCAGCAGCACGCTCTTGGAGGTCGTTCGTGCGTTCCTCCAGCTCCGCCTCCAGGCGCTTCGCAGCCTCCTCCTTCTCCCTTGCAGCGGCACAGCGACGGCGAGCGGCATCCTCGGCAGCAGCAGCACGCTCTTGGAGATCGTTTGCACGCTCTTGGAGGTCGTTCGTGCGCACCTCCAGCTCCGCCTCCAGGCGCTTCGCAGCCTCCTCCTTCTCCCTTGCAGCGGCACAGCGACGGCGAGCGGCATCCTCGGCAGCAGCAGCACGCTCTTGGAGGTCGTTCGTGCGTTCCTCCAGCTCCGCCTCCAGGCGCTTCGCAGCCTCCTCCTTCTCCCTTGCAGCGGCACAGCGACGGCGAGCGGCATCCTCGGCAGCAGCAGCACGCTCTTGGAGGTCGTTTGCACGCTCTTGGAGGTCGTTCGTGCGCACCTCCAGCTCCGCCTCCAGGCGCTTCGCAGCCTCCTCCTTCTCCCTTGCAGCGGCACAGCGACGGCGAGCGGCATCCTCGGCAGCAGCAGCACGCTCTTGGAGGTCGTTCGTGCGTTCCTCCAGCTCCGCCTCCAGGCGCTTCGCAGCCTCCTCCTTCTCCCTTGCAGCGGCACAGCGACGGCGAGCGGCATCCTCGGCAGCAGCAGCACGCTCTTGGAGGTCGTTCGTGCGTTCCTCCAGCTCCGCCTCCAGGCGCTTCGCAGCCTCCTCCTTCTCCCTTGCAGCGGCACAGCGACGGCGAGCGGCATCCTCGGCAGCAGCAGCACGCTCTTGGAGGTCGTTCGTGCGTTCCTCCAGCTCCGCCTCCAGGCGCTTCGCAGCCTCCTCCTTCTCCCTTGCAGCGGCACAGCGACGGCGAGCGGCATCCTCGGCAGCAGCAGCACGCTCTTGGAGATCGTTTGCACGCTCTTGGAGGTCGTTCGTGCGCACCTCCAGCTCCGCCTCCAGGCGCTTCGCAGCCTCCTCCTTCTCCCTTGCAGCGGCACAGCGACGGCGAGCGGCATCCTCGGCAGCAGCAGCACGCTCTTGGAGGTCGTTCGTGCGTTCCTCCAGCTCCGCCTCCAGGCGCTTCGCAGCCTCCTCCTTCTCCCTTGCAGCGGCACAGCGACGGCGAGCGGCATCCTCGGCAGCAGCAGCACGCTCTTGGAGGTCGTTTGCACGCTCTTGGAGGTCGTTCGTGCGCACCTCCAGCTCCGCCTCCAGGCGCTTCGCAGCCTCCTCCTTC